ACCCCCTAGCTGGGGGGAGAACAACCCCCCAAATTTGAATAGGGGATAGGGGTCGTGTCATACCTCTTTTTAAAGGTCTCTTCGAGTTCTTTATGACCCTAGAATTTCGTCTTACTATTTCCATCCGTAACGAAATGACAGCTTGTCAAAATCTTGGAAATAGACTATTGTTTCAGTAGAAATAAAAGCGATACTTACCTGCCTTAATAAAAGTATATTGTTGTATTAGGAGTAGAAGCGAAAGCCAAAAAATCGGGGTGGAAAGTTTCCATTGGCCCACCCTGTATACCTTTCTTTTCTTATCGTGACTAAAAAAGATTCAGAAAATCACGTGACAGTAGACTATTTACCTTCGTGGAAGAATAAGCTATTAGAAAAGTAATTTAGCATTTTGTCAGTTGTAATTTTTGACTAGATTTCCCAATTTCGCAACACGATATAACCCGCTGTTGGACTGCCAATATTTCAAACAACTAAACGCAAAATGGGAAAGAAATTCCAGAAATCTATTTTTCTGGTATAAGAAGGTTGGCTCTTGTTAGAGAGATTATATTCCACAAAAATGTTTTGTGTCTAGTTTAGGTTGATATATCATCATCACACAGCCTCCTGGATCTCAAATTGTTTTGATTGAGGTCTTCCTTTTTTATTCTAGGCAATCCAGTTTGTCTTGATTTTTTCCAGCTAGGTTATCATTCCACTGTAGGAAGTTTTCGCAGTTTTCTAAACTATCAGCACTCCTTAATCTAGCAACATGTGCTTGGCCCATTTCATCGCTCTGAATACAGCACAAATGATTCTTCTATGACTAAGAACTCTTGGTTTACAGAGAATCTAGATCAACAGTGGCTTTATGGATAAGAAGCTGGTGTGTCTAAAAAGGTGATTTTTTAACTTGAAAGTTTATCCATTAGAAAATTGCAACTTTTATTGCTATTTAAAAAATTATTTTTACCCTACGAAGTTTTTTTGATTAAAAAATACAAGATCTAAGAAAAACTCAAATTTTTCCAGGAACTATGATCCTAACTACTGCCCTTCAGGCACACCACTGTTCCTGGAATGTCCAGTTTATGCACTTATCAACTTTCCAGAGGAATTATCTTATGTTTTTTTTTTAGATAGTGAACTAGAACTTTGGTAAGCTAATCTTAGTTGGGTAAGCTTGATATTGGACTTCGAGCATGTGGCTGTAAATATTTTAAATAACTTCCTCTAGTCTTTATAATATGTTTACTATTTTTCACCAATTGAAGTTGCGTTTCACTGATATCCAGGACAACAATTCATGATTTGATTATTTCTTTTTGGTATTTGGTGTCCCCTGGGGAGGCCGTTCGCCATAATAGGTTAGGGTCCCATTTGTTACACGATTATACTATATAAGGTAAGTGTAGCAGTGGGGCACTACCGAATGCCGGCGAGAAATGGTTGAATTATGATTGGCTGTTGGGTGTCAGCTGTACAATGTGATTTCAAGTAGATTCAGATTCAGCCTCAATAGAATAGCTGAATGCTCTTTCCAACATTAACAGGCAATTTTTTTAAAATGTTTTCCAGATGAAGCGACAAGTGATCATGTTCTATATGGTAGCAGAAATTTTCTTGTTTAAAGAAGAATATTCCAGAAGGGGAACATTGCAAGTATGTTTTTTTATTGTTTCTATTTTAGGTTGGTATCATCATTATCATCACACAGTTTTCTGGGTTCATTGCTGAAGATAGGCCTCCTCAAATATTATTTCTAGGTCTTCCTTTTCTAGGCAGTTTCAATCTGATTTGTCTTTGATTCCTTTCAGCATATTTGACCCATTTCATAAGCTGGCTTACGCTCTGGATTCAGAAATGACCAATTTCAATGCCTAAAATCCCTAGCTTGGTATTTACAGAGAACTCAAATCAACAGAGGTTTTATGGATCAGACGCTGGTATGTCTAAAAAGGTAATTTTCTAACTCCAACACTAATAGTCAACCATCCAAGGACCTTTTTTTTCAGTTATACATGTAAACCCCATACTTTGTGAGTGGCTTGCTTACATCAAGTCCTACAATTTTTCCTCTACGACTTTTCTCGGAAATGGCACGTATGCGCGCAGGCGACTCGCAAACATGTCGATCTGACGTAGCTATGTTTCCTGATACATGTAGGTAAATCTAATTTTACGAATACTGTTTGATTTTTATGTCTAAATCACGGAAATCAACTTGGCCGACAAAAATAATGGCAAATTGGGGGAGTCCGATACCCCCAAAATGTCGATCTGACGTGGTTATGTTTCTTGATACATGAAAATCTAATTTCACGAATAATGTTTGATTTTTATTTCTAAATCACGGAAATCAACTTGGCCGACAAAAATAATGGCAAATTGGGGGAGTCCGATACCCCTAAAATGTTTGCGAGTCGCCTGCGCGCATACGTGCCATTTCCGAGAAAAGTCGTAGAGGAAAAGTTGTAGGACTTGATGTAAGCAAGCCACTCACAAAGTATGGGGTTTACATGTATAACTGAAAAAAAAGGTCCTTGGATGGTTGACTATAACTTTTTAGGTATGTACTAAAATTGATTTTTTTTCCAGATGAAGAGACAAGTGATCATTGTCTATAGTGAAGCAAAAATGTTCTTGTTTGAAGAAGATTATTCCACAAAACAACCATTTACAAGTAGGTATGGTTTTTTATCTGTTTAGCTTAAGTTGATATCATCATCATCATCATCACTTCCGGTGATATCAAAAGTAATGGAAAGAGTTGTGAACAATCACCTAACCAAGTACTTGGAAAAGTACAAAATTATCAACGATAAGCAATACGGATTTCGAAAATATAGGTCAACTGGCGATTTACTTACATACGTCACTCACTTATGGCAAAAAGCGATTGAGTTGCGGAGTGAAACAAGAACAATTGCCTTAGATATATCTAAAGCATTCGACAAAGTTTGGCATGAAAATCTGCTCAACAAGCTCAAAGCAATGGGATTATCGCCGAAACTTTGCACTTGGTTTGAAAGTTACCTAAAGGACAGATCCATTTATGTTGCAATGGATGGCCAGAACTCCAACTCTTACCAAATAAATGCTGGTGTGCCACAGGGAGCAATCCTTTCGCCAACTCTTTTCCTGATTTACATAAATGACCTCATAGATAAAACAGTAAATCCACTTTATTGCTTTGCAGACGATGGCAATGTAGTCTCCTCACTCATACCACCCACAGGTCTTTCCGCACGTGAATTCCATCATCTTAGACTAACTCAAATATCGCAGATAAATAACGACCTGGAGATAATAGAGGACTGGGGTAACAAAAACCTTGTACAGTTCAACGCGCAGAAAACCCAAGCAGCTCTGTTTTCAAAAAAGACCAGCACCGGTGAGCCAAACATCATGCTATCTGGAAGTGCTGTCACATTACAGAGTCAGTTGAACATCTTGGGGGTTACTGCAGAGACCAACATGTCTTGGCACAGTCACGTGGCAGATATTGCTAAAAGGGCCTCCCAAAAGCTGGGGGTGCTATTTCGTACAAGACATCTGTACACACCAAGCCAATTGCTGACACTCTACAAAGCCCAGATTCGACCAACTATGGAGTACTGCTCACATATATGGAGTGCAGCACCCAAACATACCTTAATGCTTTTGAATACCGTGCAAAAACGAGCTATCAAGCTGATCAATGACCCCGCACTTACTCGTAACTTGGATGGTCTCGAACATCGCAGATCTGTGGGCGATTTATCTCTCTTCTACAGGTACTATCACGGAAAATGCTCTGAAGAGTTGGCACGTATGATTCCACCGAGAGTAGCACCTACCAGGCGAACCCGTCAAACAGACGGTAACCATGAATTTACTGTCAAACTAGAGGCACCAAGAACCTCATTATATGAGAATTCATATCTCTGGAGAACAGCATCGCTGTGGAATAAACTCCCTGCGACGGTTTTCCCTGCAGGTTACAACCTGAACCGTTTCAAGACCAACATACACCGACATTTCCGCGCACTTGCCGCTTCTCGAGCGTGATAGGACATTTCCTTGCGAGTGCGCATATCCGTAAAAAAAAAAAAAAAAAAAAAAAAAAAAAATCATGGTATATTGATTCATTTCAGCTAGGTCATCATTTCATCAGGTTGGAAGTCTTCGCAGTTTCCTGGATCATTTGCACCCATCAACCTAGCAATATGTCCGGCCTATTTTCATCAACCTAAGAAGCAAACTGGCTCTCGCTCTGGATCCAGCACAAATGAATATAATGCCTACTAATCTCTGGTTGGAATGTTCATGGAGATTTCATGGATCAATGGTAATACTATTTTTCGTTGGTGAAGTTACATGTGCATCAATTCCCAAAATATTTCATGATTTGACCGAATCTTCCGGCATGGGGCCCCGGAGAGGCCTAGTGTCATAGTTGTCCTGGAACCCTTTTGTTGCACTATTATACTATTACGGTAAGTGTAGCAGTGGTGCCATCTAAGCTGGCGAGAGGGTGTTTAATTCATGAAAAGTGGTCGGTCTTGGCTGTACATTGTAATTTCAATGTGAAATAGGCCTAATGGGGAAAACGCTCTAACAGTTCGTACCTCGAAGGTGGTGTGGAAATCGGGCAATTCAAGTTACAAGGACTAATAACGCTCTTATAATTGAGTATTTTACTGGTAAGTATTTGAAAATAAAAGGTTTTCAAATGACAACTTTTCGTTATAGGGCAGCACAAATAACCAATGGTAAATTTATTCCTAAATACTCTTATCTGCAGGATTTGCAAGAGATGAGATGGGACCTTATCACAAAAACTAATCTCCAAAACGACTGGGAAGAACTAGCTCAGGAACGCAAGATATGGGGAGGTGTGGTTGCAAATAATACGGCAGAAAATAGGCCACGTCGGAATCCAAGAGTTTTTGGAATGCCTAGACTGTGGCAGAGTAATTTTTTCAAAGATTAGAATATTCAGCCATAGAACACAGAAGATCAAGCACTCCACTCTGTTCTATGTCATGAGTTTTCACAAAGGACAAAATATATTTGAATTTGAAGATTGCATAATAATACACAACATAAATATTGATAAAGGTACCTTTTTAATATGAAAAAGTATAAATTTGTAGGTATATTATTACAATAAAATTTAAAGGATTGGATAGCAAGCTTGTTGAGCAATAGCACACAAGTTGTGCCCAATAGCCATCCTAAAATATCCAGATTCACCCCAGCCAGCTCCCCATGAATTCTTAACAATCCAGTAATCCTGACCATTTTCTGTTCCATAGCCTACAACTAGAACTCCATGATCGATTGCTGTAGAACAGCTTGTATCAGCGAAAATTCCACCACCATACGATTGAAGTAAATCAGCGTTCATGGCCACAGACACCGGCCCAACGGAACCGACTGCGTTTTTAAGGTCGTTTTCATCGTTCTGGTTTATTTCTGTGTATCCAGTGCTTTTGATTACTGTATCACCAGCTCTGCAACTACCTTGATATGCTTCGTAAGGGTAAGCGTCTTCAGTAGCAATACCGTGATCCCTGACGTAGTCTAAACCACTTTGGACGATACCTCCGTCGCAACCATCAGCAGAATATCCAGAGTTAGAAGTGCAACAATCTATGAGGTTTTGTTCACTGAGTGAGAGAAGTTGGCCTGATTTAATCGCATAGACGCCTTCAAGAGTTCCAGTCTGAAAATTATTTTGAAATTATTTGTTGGCCCCGAAAGAAAGAAGGTTGTTGAGACATGTGAAATTTTACGAAAATTACAAATAAAAGTGTCTCAAAGTAATCTAAAGTAACAAATCAATTACAATCACATAACTTCTATTTTTTCAGACAATGTAATTCTTCGCGAATAAATTGGAGCGGAAGTCAAAAATGTCCGACAGAAAAAGTAACTATCGTTATTGAATGGTACAAAATTCTTACAGCACTGAAAGCCCAACATGATCCACAACCTCCCTGGTTCTTAACTGCAGTGACCGCGCCCCTCTCTCTCCAATCAATGCTATCGGGAATATTCAAAGCTGGAACGTGCAGTTTCCTCAACTCAGACTTAGTTTTGTTGAATGGTACTGCATTTAAATAAGCGACAAATTCTTCTGAAGTCATGTCAGAAAATTGGTTGACTGCCAAGTACCAAGACACCGAGCCGGCGTTGTACTTGGCGTTGTGCTCCTGGATTTTGTTGAGGTTTCCTTTGAAGACTGCGTAGCGCAGTTTGTGTTCAGATTCGGTTTGGTAGGATTTTCCATGGTCGATCTAAAGTTATTTGGAGATTTAGTTTACGAGAAAAAGATTGGATTGGGTTTACTTACTTTGAATTTGTTAAAAAGTAGCTCGTTTGAGCTTACAGCTAATAACAATGATACGAATAAAAGAGTTTTGAACCACATTTTGCTAAAATAGTCAACGAAATAGAAATATATTATTGAAATTATATAAATACTTACCCTACTGCCTTTTACACAATGAATATGTAATATGCAATTCCGGCATTTTAAAATTTTATTTCTATACAAAACTTTCTGATCAAAACACTTGTTGAATCAAGTACCAATGTCCTGTATTGATAGTTTAGGTAGGTTTTGCAACAAGACAAGAGGCTTTTCAATAATAGCAAATAAATATTTCACAATGACAATAATAATTGATAAGCGGAAATTACGTCGATCACCGAAAAAAGTCTGTTTTTAAAAAGTTTATTTTCAAAAGTTATTTCTAGAGCAAAACAATATGAAATGAATATTAATCTTAAACTAAGGTACATTTATATTTTAATTTGTGCTGAGCTGGTTCACGTGCCTGGCAATGGGAAACATCTTGCCTCAACAGGTTCCATGAGATTCGTGATGGGTATACTTTGTAGCTACAATGTAACCCCTCCCATCTTAAGTTAGAAAATATCTCTGGTATTTTCTAAAGCCGGTTTTACACTGACAATTTATTGGTCAATTTATTGATCAAGTCGCTTGTCAAGAAATATTGATAATGTAAAACGCCAAATTGGCGGCAATTTAACTTGTTCAAGTTCTTGCTCAATTTATTGACGGATTAGCGCATGTTCTATTTTTCCATCAATTTTTGTGTCAATTCAGGCTTTCAACCTAGAGATGACACTTTAAAAATATTAAAGCGAGGTGAGGATAACTATTTTCATGTATCATTTGCTTTGATGTTCAGTTTATTCTTCTATCTTCAGTTTATTCTAGTTTTATTATTAAACATCCTTTAAATATATTTCTGAGTGAACCATAAATGAAGACTTATCCTTGAAATTCTGGTTAAGTTGGTAGAATTGTTTATTGTCATTTCTGTTGTCAACAAATTGATCCGGTGTAAAGCAATGTTAAGCCTTTGTTAAGCCAACATAAATTGGCAAATAAATTGGCAAGCAAATTTATCAATTTAAATTATAACTGCAAAACTAGCATGAGCCAACCTCTTCTGTCGGCTTGCGGTTAGATTTTGGTTTCTTCTTGAAATATTTGGCAATGGCAATTCTTCTTTGAAGTATGTATTACGATAATGACCAGTAGACAGACGACTAGGATACCAATTATTATCGAAGAGTATTGGCTTGATCCGTTTTCGATTTCTTGAACTGGAGATAGTTGGTTTGCCATGTCTTTTAGCTTGTAGATTTCTTCAAAGTTGATTTGACTTTGATTTTGGGTTTCGAGCATTTTTGTTGTTGTTGTGAAATTAGCGATAAATAATTCTGGTAGGATGAGTGGTTTACCATGATAGATTTTCACGTTGTTGGTAAATTTTTTGGATCCAATTTGAATATGGTATTCTTTTGGAATTTCCACTAATGTCGGCTCTTCTAGATCAATATATTGGTTCAGTTGCGTTGCATTTTGTGAGGAATTATCAAGATTTCTTCGGTAGTGATTTGTTCTATTATTGATTCTTACAGAATTTGGTAGGAATTTGTTTTTTGCCCGTCTAGAACTCAAATGATACAATCCCCAGTAGCACAACAATATTGGTAAAATATTAAATTTACATATTGGCCCAAGGATGGAAACGACAATTTTTTTTTTTTTTTTTTGCCTAATATATATTTCAAATATGAATCCGATGTTGAAGAAAAATATTGTCCCAATATTGCGAATTAATAAATATGTAATATTGCTTTTAGAAACATACCCAATATTTGTTTTTCAGATTGGCACAATGTATACGTCTTATATGAATCCGATATTGAATATAAATATAACCAATTAATAAATATGTAATATTTCTCCTAGAAATATTTACAATATTTCCTAGAAATATTTACATTATTTCTTTGGAAAAACACATGTATTTAACCAAAACTCCAACACCCGCAGACTAGACCGGTTTCCGATTTCGTGCTTGTTAGCGAAGCACATCAACTTAAAGAAACAGGTTTGAAGGAAACTCAAACGCTAGGAAAGATCGAGGCCATCAGTAGTGCGTGGTGCCCTCTCTCGGTAGTCCTGATTGATATGGAAAATGTACATCTCCTATATATCACCAATATTGGATAAATATTAAATATAAACATGAATAAAAGTCAATGCCAAATATGGATTATCCATATTGGATCAATATTGGATTCACATATTATATAGTAATAATAATGTAGGCGAAAGGTTAATCTCCTATACCGGGTGTTTTTCAGAACTCGCTCACCCCTATAACTTTTTTATTTTTCCAAATAAACAAATGAAATTTGGTGTGTTTATTTATTACCCGGATGTACTTACATTATTTGACGTATTCAATTAATTATTATCAGTTCTGGTTTCACCGGAAGTGGCCAGAACTTTCTTATTTTAAATGAGACGCCAGGTATGTTTTTCCTCATTTCAATAGAAAACTACATTACGAGTACACTGACACCTCATTTGTCACTTTTTGACATTTCATCTTCAAATTATTTAAATTTTTACTTTTCAATCTAGAGCGCCATGAATTAGTTGAAATGCTTAATTTTGCTCCAAGGAACCTGGGAAAATTTGTTTTGATCTTATTTTATATTTTATATCCTCTACAGACTCATTAAAAAATAGAAGTGTATTTTTGTAATTATCTCAAATTTTTCAAATGAGAAGGATGCGGCTCATTACAATATTCCAAAAGAGCGTTTTCTAACGAGCAATTCAGTACCACACAATCGCCACCATATAAAATATTTTATATTTGACAATTTCACTTTTATGTCTACATCTTTCTGATGAAGCTACAGTGTAGCGAAACATGTTAAAGTTTAACAAAAAATTAGTGGAAATAAATAAGTATAATAATTTACTTTAAAAAAAAAATCTTTTACTAGATAATGAATTTCCACCTTGTAACAGCCGATTCAATAAAAATGTTTTGTGTTTAGTTTAGGTTGATATATCATCATCACACAGCCTTCTGGATCTCAAATTGTTTCTAGGTCTCCCTTTTTTATTTTAGGCAATCCAGTTTGTCTTGATTCTTTTCAGCTAGGTCATCATTCCACCGAAGGAAGTTTTCGAAGTTTTCTAAACTATCAGCACTCCTCAATCTAGCAATATGCGTTTGGCTCATGGCTCATTTCATCGCTCTGGATACAGCACAAATGATCACCTTCAATGCCTAAGAACCCTTGGTTTACAGAGAATCCAAATCAACAGAGGTTTTAGGGATCAGACGCTATATGGTCTAAAAAGGTAGGTACCTAATTTTCTAACTTAAAAGTTTTTCCAACAGAAAATTTCGACTTTTATGGCTACCTATTTGAAAAGTTATTTGGTAACTTTTGTTTTAGATTTCCACTGTTTTTAACCTGCGAAGTTTTTTGATTAAAAAAATACAAGATTCAAGTTAAAAATCAAATTTTTGACAGACTTCTCCAGGAGCTATTATTTCAATTGCCCTTCAGGCACGCCATAGGTCCTAGAAAAGTCTATGTATGCTTCTATCAAGCTTCCAGAAGAATTAAATTATGTTTTTTTCTTTTTCAGGTGTGACAAGTACAGGAACCAGAACTTTGGTAAGGTACTACTAGTTGGGTTAGCTTGGTATTGGACTTTGAGCATTTGGCTTTTTTTTCAGTAACTTCCTCTTTATAATATGATTACATACTATTTTTTACCAATTGAAGTTGAGTTCCACTGATATCCAGGACCACAATTCATGATTTGATTATTTCTACTCGGTATTTGGTGTCCTCTGGGGAGGCCGTTCGCCATATTAGGTTAGGATCCCACTTGTTACACGATTATACTATTCAAGGTAAGTGTAGCAGTGGGGCACTACCGAATGCCGGCGAGAAATGGTTGAATTATGATTGGCTGTTGAGTATCAGCTGCACAATGTGATTTCAAGTAGATTCAGATTCAGCCTAATAAGGCCTATTAGAAAAGCTGAATGCTCTCCAACTTTTCCAGGCAATTTTTTTTATGTTTTCCATATGAAGAGACAAGTGATCATGTTCTATATGGTAGCAGAAATTTTCTTGTTTAAAGAAGATTATTCCAGAATAGGAACATTGCAAGTATGTTTTTTTATTCTGTCTATTTCAGGTTGGTATCCTCATTATCATTACACAGTTTTCTGGGTCCACTGCTGAAGATAGACCTCCTCAAGTATTATTTTCAGGTCTTTCTTTTCTAGGCAGTTTCAATCTGATTTGCCTTTGATTCCTTTCAGCTAGGTAGGAAGTCTTCACAGTTTTCTGGACCAT